CATATTGATGTTATATTTGGATTTGGTGATGTTGCTGAATTAGATGGAGAAAGAGGATTTGATGATGTTGTTGATAAATTTTGTTGATATTGATATGATTGTTTGATTTCACTCATTTGATGTGGTAATGAATATGGAGAAGCTCTTGGACGTATTGAATGATAACTAAGAATTGGACCTATGCCACCTGATATCATTCTATGATGTTGTTGTTGCTGTTGTAGTCGCCATTCATCCATTGATATAATTGGATGAATAATAAATAAATCTGTAATAAAATAATTCACCTGTTGGAAATGTTCAATTCGTTGTGCGTTTTTTTTAAAGAAAAATAATCGACTAAATCATCTACAAGGGTAATAATCGCGTCCGTATGTAACAACGAGAACGACTGGTCGAAACACAACAGACGAGAAAGAGAGAAAAAAAAAGACACACGTCAAAACGTCGTACAGCAGTAGCAGAAAAGCGAACGAACGGAAGAAAAAAAAACGAGAAAGAATCACTTGCACCAGCCAAACGTCTATCTGTCTTTCTCTTTTGTGTTGATGATGGTGGCGTTGGATGTTTCTTCTTCTCGTTCTCGTCGATGATTCGCGAATTGTAGATAGGTACTTCTCTTTCTCTTTCTCTTGGCGTCGATATGTCACTGTCACTGGTCTCTTTCTTTTCTCGGCAGGCAGCAGCAAAAGAAAGAAAGAGAAATGTAACCGATCAAAACTATCAAAAGGTTCGCGTTGCTTCGTCTGCCTATATCAACGAACGACGAAAAGAAAGGAAAGAGAGAAAAAATTCTTCTTCTTCTTCTTGTTTGGTTGGCTGTTGCACATCGCATAGTGGTCGTTATAGCAGGGAACGTGCACTTGTCCTCTTGTTGTGTTTACTTGATATACACAAAAGTGAAATGAGTGAAAGAAAGCAGTAAAATGGGCACAAAATGATCGGAGTGATTTCTTTTTTTTTGTCACTGATAAAAATCATTTTCTTGTTTTGCAAGAACTAACTTTCTTTGTATTGTCATATTTAGCCATGAAAAAAAAAATATATATATAAAAACTATTAGTTCAAGTTTATATTTCTATCTAAAAATATTTCAATTGTTCTCTTTCTCTTGGCGGACACGCCGATTTGTTTAATACATATTATTGTTGAACTCGTATATGAATGGTTAGGTAGAAGATAGGGCACAGGGCAGTCAAAGAAACAGAACGAAAAGACGGAGGGATGAGGTCGTCGTCGTCATCATCATTGTTATAATGTTATTTGGTGAGGTATAATAAGGAGCGAGAATAAATGGTGAAGAGAGTGAGAGCACAGAGGTCATCGCCACAGTTTCAATATGACATATGATTGAATGAGAGAAAAATATACTGACCTATAGAGTTCGATGATTGACCCTTTATTTGCTAAACATGTCTCACCATCTTAAGTTTGAATATGTTAATCTTTAGTTAAATTACTTTTGAAAAGTTAAAGACAAGTCATAGTAATATGTGACATATCTATTGATGATCATAGATTGTATAATTCGAAAAGCGTGGCAACCAAATTGAGATGTACTCTGTTACACCCGTTCTGTATTTTTGTATTCTTAGTTTTTCATTTTTGATTTCTCTAATTCTTTGTTAAATGTGCTCAATGAACAAATTTCGAATATTGAGCACTTGTCCTTTTATTCTTTGATATTCAATGTGTATAACAATCTGAATATTTATGTTGATCGATTCATTTAATGCTCACTTAAAATGCTTTCATTTCCAGCTAACAGTAAAAGAAGTTGTTTTCTTCATTTTTTTTTCTATCGTTAATTATATATTTGCATCATCTTTCTTTTTTTGCAAACGTTGAGATTTGACGAATCAAAATCAAAGTTAGTCGTAAGACATTTTGTTAGATAGACTAGCTAGACAGAAAAAAAAAGGACGTAAGAAGTACTTGGACTCCTTGCTATTATTAGAACTAAAGCCTTAAGAGGATGAGCAAAAAAAAATAATCGAGCGAAGCGTAGTAATAGCAACGTTGATGACAATAACAACATCAATAACATCACGAAGAAAGACAGGAAACAACGAGAAAGAAAGAGAAAGCGGGGTAAAAATGAATAGAGGAAGGCAAGACAGACAAATAAAGCCAGTTGTAGGAAGGTGCAAAAGAAAAAAAATCCGGAATGTCTCAGTATCGACGCATTTTTTTTTCTCCGTTTCTAACATACAAAGAAAACAAAGTGATGATCTGCCGAACACTGTGGACGTGTGTTTCAATGTGTGACTTAGTCTTATTTAGAGTTGAGGTTCTTGTTTTTATTACTCCAATCATTTTTTTAATTATATAATCGACGCAAAAAAAGAAAAAGAAAATAAGTAATAAAGAAAGAAAAAGGACAACATTGAGTTCGTATCCATGAAATAAAATAATTTAAGGGCGGAAGTTTCTTACCGGTATTATTTGTAGGTTTGTTTTGACGTAGTATGATTTCAATCACTCAAAATGACGCTGTCTTGTTCGACAACGAAAAAAACATAGAACCGAAAAATAAAAGAATGTGAAAAAAAGAATAATGACGTAATGAAGCAATAGCTTGACAGTACCACGATAAAACGAACTTGCTTTGCGTCATCACCAGACGCGTAGGTGGTCATGTCAAACTTTCTTTCATATTCCTTTCATTTCCATCGAAAGACAAAAACAATAATCGATTGATAATCATGATCATATTAACATTTAAGGCACCTGTGAATCTCGATACTGCGTTTTTAGGAAATGTAATACAGCTGTAAAAGACGAAAAAAAAGAGAAAAAGAAAGTTGTCAATCATTTGTCATTCAAACTTTTTTTTTTCGTCTTCGATTTTTATCACATTTTTACTTGTTTACTATATAAATCTGTCAAGTGCGTCTATTGTACCTCCTTCCCCCCCGCCAAAAAGAAACGATTACACAGACGTAAGGCATATGATTCTAAACATTGAGATTTCTTTGTCAATGATTTTTTGTTTCGTTTCGTTTCTTTCTTTTCTTTTTCATTCATTCATTCTTCATTCTTCTACTAACATTTTTTTGACGGGCATTCGTGAAGAATGTGTAAACGGCACTGTAAGCACAACCATCAGTACGGATTCAATCAATAATAGCAAACGAGTACATATATATATTGTATAATTATGACGTTCTCTTGTCAACAACATATAGGAAGAGAAGAAGCAACAACAGAAACATGATGAAGTTGGCTGTAAATGGGGATCTTTTTTTTTCGCCACTGTGTTTGTCAAATGTTTCTTTACTTTTCTTTTTTTTTCAGGGGTAGGCGCTGTTTGTGGTGGTGGTGCATATGAGAGACTAAGAGACGATTTGTTCTCTTTCTCTTTTTCGACATAACCAGCGTTTTCTTCTTGTTCTCCTACCTGCAAGAAAGATCGGATGAGAGAGATAGGCTCGAGCGAATAAAAAAGAAGAAGGAGAAGAAGAAAGAGAAAACGACTACTAGTGAATGTAATACGAGCTACTAACATCACCCGGTCTTATGACAGCGGATGATGTCGATGATGATGCCGATCGCGCCAGTTCGCACATCGCATAAAAGATAATATCCAGCTTGCACGCACACGCATTACAACCAAACAGATCGTTATATGTTGCACGATTGAGACAGACAAAGAAAAGGCTTCATACGCATAACATATATGTATACATATACATATATATATATATATATAATTCGATTAACGTTGAGGTGATATGCTTGATATGGGCATAAGAGAGAGAAAAAAGAAAAATGAGCAATCAAGCTTTCCTCGATATCTATGATATAACAACTAGTATCGAACAACAGATAGAGATATTCCAAGAATTGTTTCTTATTATTGATTTACTGTTAAGATTTAGTTGCTTCATTACGAAATATACGACATTGCAACAAACAGAAACAATACAAAGTGTTTTTTTATGAGACCTTATAAACGATCAACCACTAAACTTTTACCTTTTTTTATCTTGTAATACAAACAACTGATGAAGAAAAATTGTTTCTATTACGTACAAAACGTTTTTTTGTTCGTTCTTTATCGAGGTATAGGCTTCATAGTAATACAAAGATTTAAGCATTCATGAGTATAATAAAATAAACATTCAAACTTACAAATCGATGAAGCACAATTTAGACATAGTCTCAAGGACAAACGTATTGAATGGAAATGATATTCAAAATTCAAATGATTTTAGTCAAAATAAATTATAGAAAAAACATTCATATTGTTATCCTGATGAACATACAGAAAAGCTCTAAAATATGTTTTGTTCTTTAAAAACAAATGAACACCAAATTTTTTCACATTTGTGAAACCAAATAATAATGATTATCTTGTCTCACATGCGCTCTTTCTTATATTATTAGGCTGCATTAATTTCTGAAAATATCAATTCCATTTATGTTATAGACAGATCATTCGCCTCATACGTATCCGTCCATATGCCATAGGCCATAATCGATAATCTTTTTTCCTGAAATTCTCTTGCATTTCAATCAGATGTTTACATATTATGCAAGAGTTATATATTCACTTTAAGAAAAAAAGATCTTCTCTTAAAATTTGAAAGGAATTGTATAGTTAAATTCATTAGAAATCTCTTTTTTGGTTTAATCTGTGATAGAAAAACTAATAAATTAGAAAAATCTTTCTATTCAAAACAAAAAAAAATTCTCGGTTATCTATCAACGAATAATGTTCCAACATGTTGCTTAAATGTTCAAGTTGAATCGTGAAAATATGTGACAAAAAGTATAAAAGTTTTTTTTACCCAACTTCTCATTTAATTAAAAATTGTATACATGAAAAATAATTTTTTTGTAAAGCTATTTAGGTCATGTCGTATAATGAGCTCATTAGAATCGGCAAAAAAATAATCTTGAGTAAGGCTTTTTTTCTTTCCGTAAGTTGGTTGTTTCTATGAACAATAAGTTTAAACATTCATAAACTCAACAGCATTTCAACAAGTTTTGATTCAATGAGTAGCAGTTGTACAGATACATCAAATGAACAATATAAAATATTTTGGCTTGATTATTTCATTTCAATTGGTTATATTGATAGTTCAAGTTCATATAATCCTTATGCACCATATGGCAAATGTACAACTTCATTATTATGGATAACTTATCTAATAAATCTTGTTCATTTTTTTCTTCTATCCAGTGGTATTCTTTATTTGTTTAATTTTCATCAAAGTAAGTTTACGAATTTGAAAAACTCATTATATAATAGTTTTATTTCTTAATCATAGATAAAACTGGATTTTGGTGGCCATTTATAACTTGGATTTTAGCATTTGTTTTTCTTATTGTATCGATTATTTTCTTCATAATTTGGAGTAAGAAGAATTAAAAACAAACGATATGTTTATCTGAAAGTTTGCTTCGTTTGTTTTTAGATTTGAATACAAATTTATTTTCAATTCTAATTATTGCTTTTCAATTATCCGCTGTAATTATTTTATGGATTTCAATTTTTGTTGTCGTTCCATTTGCGTTTACAATTGAATATCGTTATCAACGATGTTTATTCTTATCTCTTATTCTTTTATTTTTGATTCAAATTGGTTGTTTAATAATACAAACTCTCTTTACATTACATTGTCTTTTTAATCTCAAATTTGTCTCAACATCTTTGGATTATGGTAACAAATAAAAATATGAAAGTTAATTAACTAGAATTGTTTTGCTTTTCTTAGCTTATTGGTCAGCAATCATTGCTGCTATTGGTACAATTAGTTCAACTCTTTTATTGGATCATATATTCATGTGGTGTCGTAAGTTGAATTCGATAATACAATAGATACTTTGATAAACAATTATTTCAAATAGGAAGCCTAGGAGAACCAACAAGAGTTAGTCCTGCAACAACGAATGAACAAAATCATCACACTCATCAGACTCATCAGACTCATCAGACTCATCAGACTTATCAGACTCATCAGCCTCATCAGACTCATCAGACTTATCAGACTCATCAGCCTCATCAGATTCACCAGAATACTCGTCAAAATCGACCTACATCACCTATTGACCCAGCAATATTGGACGATTTTCATCGTCATCCAGAAGGAGGTTTATATCATATTTATAGTAGTACAGATGGAACAAGACATTTTCGTATTTTACCAAGCAAGCCACGTATGATGTTTCAGTCTTTGCAACACTTTTTATTGGTTTTTTGTCTATTCTAGAACTGAATGGCGCCAGAACCAGTGTGGTACGAATACGAAACTTTGGTAGCAAGATCAATGAACATAAATTATAGACACAGTGGAAGATAATAATTTTATGTGTGTAAATTTCTCATTTTCAATAAATAAGATAAGGAATGTCAATAATTTCACCAGAAAGCAAATAGTATTGATAGAAAAACGTGAGAAATACATCTCTATTGTAGTATCTTGTTTTTTAAAAGCACTTGTCAGGATAGGAGAAGGTTACTTCAGCAGCAGGACATGTTGTAGGTTACACGTATTGTATTCTGGTAAGAAAAAGAATTGAAGTGAAGGTAAACTGATAAACAAATTAGATTGATCACAAATATATTCAGTAGAAACAGATATGTCACTAATCTATTCTTTATACATATAGTTACACAAATGATACATTTATTTTTCTGATTTTGAGTGTTATCCTAGTCTACGAAAAGTCATTGAAGCAGTTGCTATTCAATAAGACCATTCATCTTTAATATTTATAACAAAGTTTAAGATTACTGTAAGGCATCAAAGCAAAAAAAAAAGAGAAACAATTTAGCCATGCAGAATGATGTTATGTGAATTCTTCAATATTTCCAAAAATTGCTTTATTAACAAAATCGTTCAAAGGTATTCATAATTGATGTTTGACAATTTTAGGAAGGAGCGAGTAATGAAATTGTACAACAGCATAGAGAACAAAAAGACTCTACTATGAATAACATATTTAAAATTAGATAAGTCTTGGATGATCTTTAGGAATAATCTCTTATTTAGTGTTCATGAAATTTCAGCTACATTCGAATGTGTTTTCAGTTCATCAGATTGAGTTTTGGAAAAAAGACGAAAATCATTAAATCCAGATATTATTGATGATTAGACATTTTCAAGATATGTAGTTTTGTTTTGTTTGCTTTATTATTGAAACTAATTGAATGCAATTGCATAAAAAGCTGATACAAAAATCTCGATCTTTTTCTAATGCCAAACCGGGCAGATCAATTCAGGATCAGGTCGTTACAATACCAATAGAGTAGTTTACAGGTCAGAATGCCGTGCCATATAGCCCTCCTTCTCATATATCTTCGATCATTATGATTATCACTGTAGTAATGTAATAGTAAATTGTCTGCATGAACAAGTTTGAAGACCTGAGCAACAGCGAACTAATTGGGGGAGCACAATCCTTAAAAACAACTAATGCATTGATTTATTCAGTGCATAATAAATCACATTACACTGTTGAATTAGGTATATATGAATATATACACATACAGAAGACAAGAATAGTGTATATATTGAGAACTTTATATACGTCAGAAAAAGGTGCAGATTGTGTGCCATGCAGATGTCCCGGTAGTTTGATCAATACTTTTTAATACCCAATAGTGACCTTCATTCAATTTTCACTCAATCAAGATTTACAGCTGGGACTATTTCTTGATAAATATAAATTGATTTATGGAAGTAAAACCAGCATTGGTAAAGTTTACAGAAATTTTTGTAGAAGAAACCGCCGCTACCGCAAGTGTTTGCAATATGTGAGAATGATAATGGAGTAGTGAATGTTAAACAACGCTCTGAAAACTTTCTCGTTATTATCAACGTAACATCATATACACTGAAGAAACAATAAACATCGCCACTATAATGTAGCGATGTTGCAATGTCTGGATAACCTACACGAAGTCTTTTAATTGATTAAAGCGATTTTTAGTAATATTTAAACGAATGTTAAGTTACGAAACTATTTCATAACTCTTGTTATTGTATATTCATTTTTCAAATTTCGAGTGCTTTTTGTTTGATTCAAATATGGTTTTGTAAATTTCTTTACTCTTGAATGTACCACCTCTAAAATTGTAAACTGAATCCGATTTCGTCGCGATCTGATAGGAACATTTGAATCTGAATTTTGAGAATTCTAACGAGTTATTGGAAATCAGCATCATGATCACATCTCCAATCAGCAACTTCACCATGTTTATGATATACTATGTACACGAACTTTATCTAGATCATCTATTGGAAGCTGATTAAGCAAATATGAAAGCACTTTCGGTTCTTCTTTAAATCTGTCCATATCAAATAAAAACTTTCCGAATTCAGGAAGAGACGATCTTTCATCAATATTTGAGCAAATTGGATATTTCGTTATTTCATAGATAGGCTTTGAAAGATAGCCATTATCGCTGTGCAATATCATTATAATTATGTACACTATACGCTATGTTATTCATTGTTCTTCTGAATAATCGATTCCAAACAAAATATACTATCCAGCATCATTTAAACTTTCTCTTAGTTTGAAAAATAGTTTTAAGATATGATTTTAGTACATGGGTTAACAACATCTGATTGAGGTACTTACCAGTTTCATAAAGAATTTACAATATGTTTCGGAATATATTCGATTGACCCAAGTAAAACAGTTCTAGATCACGATTTGCACATGTCGAAACAAAAAACCTTATTGAAACGAATTCACCTACAGGATTCTTTTACGATGCATGACTTGTTTATAGATGATTTCGGTGTGGGTGTAAGGAAACGCTAGACCTCAATCACACATCCAATCATACTCACATGCACTTTCTGCAGAGCATATCTTTTTGTAGAATATGTACATAGAACGATAGTACCCATAGCAACAACGCAGAATTGTTTCGTTGAATGATACAATTCAGCGAAAACATACACATACAAGCCTTAATTCTGTTATATGCGAATCGATAAGAGTTTTTAGACAGATCGAAATCTAGAGACCAACCACTACTTCCTATTAAAAGTTTCCATACACAATGAATAATTGTTATTTGAGTGATGAATATTCGAATAATGAGTCACGATGGTCACTGCAGACCAGAAGTTGATAACTATTGTTTGATTGTAGATTAAAAAATTGGCTAGTAGAAGAAAATGTTTGAAATGAGACTGACAACTTCTAGATATACTGCTATAGAATTTCAGTAAACGCGCGAAACCAATTCGATGCTCGTTATAAGAAGATTAAATTGAAAGATAAAGTTGTATTGTGATATAGTACTTGTCGCACTTTATCACGACATATGGCATTTTCTGTGCAATAAAACATCTGACATCGTCCACTTCAGTTCTGATAGTTTACAGATACATACTGGTTAACAGAAAGAACTACATAAACTGGTAAATACATGCTTCAGATTGCAAAGAAATCTATTGCGATCGGCGAATATACAACGTTTACTCTATAGTAAAGGAAGTCAATGACATTTCTCAGTTGTAAAGAATGAACAGAGAATTATTTAGAGATGAAGACAACCTCATGTTAATCTTGCCAAAAAGATACTAATTCACTCGTCTTCAAGCGACATCTGTTCCAGTTTATCTCAGTCGTTCTATAACTACTTCAAGAAGGTCTATTGCCAATCTGAACTCTGCGACTAACAAGTCCTACATAGTCAGAAGTTATTGACTGATTAGACGAAAAAATATTCGCATGAATACTTTTTCAGTTTTCAAAGTACACTGCCAAGAAGAGATCATATATAAACAAAACTGTGTGATAATGACTTTGTATCAACTTCAAATATTCTCTCGAATGGCGCGAACCACATCAAAAACTATTCATATAGTGCCGATATATGAACGACTTATATATAAAATAAACATGTTGTCTCCACATAAAACTAGCAAATAATCATGTGTGGTTATTAATTGTGCAATAGATTTTTGGGCGCCTTGCTAATACTTTAAACTATTTGGTTTTTATATGAGAAGATGCGGCTTTTGACGTTCTAGAACATATTCAAAATTCATTCTGAGATCTCAAAAAAAAAACAGTCAAAATACAGGTGAGAATGTTGAAAATTGATGTCTATATCAACTGTAAAGTCATTGATTCTCAAAAATATAATGATCATTAGTCCCATCTGACAGAATGAGGAGAACAACTAAATAGAAATTTTTTTAGAGCAGACTTCGTTCTATCGGCGAATACAAGATAATAGTAGTATTGAAAAACCAATCTTTCAAATATCGAGGTACCTTTTGCATACTCTAGTCCAACGTCAAAAATATTGCATCATCAAAATACCAGAAAATCTCGTTCAAAAGGGCTGAAAATTTATGTTTATGTCTTGCTTTTTTTTTCTTTCGAGTCTGATAGTCGATGTTTAAAAAGTGAAGTTTTTTGGCACCCAACTTGAGTATTTAGTAATCTATCAAGGATGTTCGTATAATATATATTGAATTAGAATAATAGTAGATTATTTTGTTCATTCATTTGAAAGAAGTAAATGAAATATTAAATATCTTTTTCTGTTATTACAGATAGTTTTTTAAACTTATTTATTAGATGATGAGAAAACTTTACTGATTTTTACTATAAAAAATATAAATTATAAAATGCAAGAGAACTGAAATATTGAATGGCTACAAATTGTTTGCTAAGTAAAACTATTAAAATGCTAAGTTGGTCTTTGCTAAGTAAAATTTCTATGTGCTCAGTAAAAAAAATTGTATGCTAAGTAAAAACATTGAAAGCTCAGTTAATTAAAAGTTTCTCAGTAAAAAAAAATATTTGGTAAGTTTGATAGATAATCGCTAAGTAAAAAAATATGTTTGTTAAGTCAATGAATCGAAATTATACTAAAAAAATAGAATCGCTACGTAAAAATTATTATTACTGAGTAATTTTCAGTAAATGTAAAGTACGATTATCGGAGAGAAGAAAAATTTTTTATAGTACTATCATGTATACATTGTTTTCTCTTGCTTTCCTTCTATCATCGTTCGACTGGTATCGTGATATATATGTCAACATTCAATTTCGAATTCACGCCAATCTCGGATGTTCACATTAAATTAGACAATTGTTGGATTGAGAAAATTTTTTTATTAAAACCTTCGTCACTCTCAATATATATGTTGGATTGAAATTCTCGTTGATGAACTATGTTGGAGCAATGGTACTTCATATATTAAAATCATCCATGTAGAACCTATTTTCGAATTTGAACTCTAATGGATAGTTTTCCTAAAAAAACTGTTCTTCTATAGAGGTTTACGTAGAGGTTCACGAATGTTACTTAAATTTGTATATCGACTATTGTATTTTCTAGAGTATCATTGCTGCAAGGCCATTTGTCAACAAGAATTTCGATCTAACATCTCTCTTGAGAGTAGCCGAGGTTTTAATTAAAACAAATTCCTCAATCCGACGCTAAATCAGCCCAAAGTGAGCACCCAAGATTGACCTAGGCCGATCTAATATTGAAGTGAATCCAACACTGGATGCTGACACACATATATATCACTTATAGATTTTTTTCGTTCTGATGTAGGTGCCTGTTTTCTTAGAACATGTTCTAGTACAATCCTGTTTGTTTTTCTCTTGCTATTTCTTTTACATAAGATTTGTATTGCTTTCTCGATACTTCTCTTCTGTCTAGCCCTTTTTGGTACGCTCTTCCCCTCGTTTTCTTATATACTTCTGGTGATCTGTCATTGAGAGTTTACATTGAATTAAAAAGCTAAACTATAGCAGCATGTCGAAATGAAAAAAATCGACTTTGCGATTGTACAAGCTTCTTCAAAAAATATATTTGTAAAAATATTTTAGGCATAGCTATTAGGTTGAAGTGTTGTAAAACATCTCTATCAGCAAAGGATATACTTTTCGATAAAAAAAGAAAACAAAAACGACTAGGAAAAACAACAAAAACTCTATTGATACAATAACTGTGCAAACAACTTTTTTACTTAGATATTCATGTCATTTTACTTAACAAAAATTATATATTTACTTAGCGATTTACAATATTTTACTAAGAAAATCAAACTGTTTTACTTAGAATTTAAATAAAAAACTTAACAAAAACACTTTTTTACTTATAATGTTTTTCAATAAATTACCTAGCAAAAATTTAATTTTTTACTTAGGCTTTATTTAAAATTACTTAACACTTAAATAGTAGCCATATTGAATATATGTTATCAAAAATTTTAACATTTGAATACTAAGCAACGAAAAACAAAAAGTTCATGAATGAAGTTTTCAAAAAGTATTAATCAATGCTTTCTATTTATCCATTAGCAGTAAATGTACCATAACCCCATGATGCTCCATCACCAGCTATGCTCAATGTCCACGATTCTGTTGAACGTGAAAAATACGTGTTATCTGCATTCGATGATATTGTATCACTTCGCCAATATCTTCCATAAGACGAACTTGGATTAGCTTTAAATGCAAGATTATTATTACTCGAACTATATGTTATCTCTGTTGCTTGAAAATAATCGAAATTATATATAGCTGTACCAAACCATGCTTGTGTAAATTGATCGTTTGTCTTTGGCGTTGATAAACAGGCCATTTTGACACGTAAACGTTTTTGATAGTTAGCACATTTATCAGCTTTTTTTTTCCATTCTGTTAATGAACTATATTTTCCATCAGAGACTAAATAAGATTCAAGTAAATAAATATCATTTGAATTAAGTTTAACATGAACTCCACCAAGTACATCATCAGGATTCCATGCATTCATAATAACATGCATGTTTTTTAAATGACAATATTGAATCATACGCGATTGACGTTGCCGTGTCACATTATAATCATAGCCAGCATCATCCCAAAATATACCCTTTATTAAATAGAATGAAAAAAAGAAAACTTAATCCTCAATTTTGAATTGTATTCTTACATTAGCACCCATAGATGACCAACCATCAACAGCTTGTCGCATTTGTTTTCTATTTAAATTTTGTGTTGTAACGCCTAAATCAACATATCCGAACACTTTTTTACCACGAGCAATCAAATTGCTCATAATAGCTTGTGTTTTCACATGATCACCATGTGTAGTCTTCCAAATTCCATCACCAAACACGATTAAATCAAATTGTTCAAACCAATTACTAGCTGCTGTTACATTACCTTGACTATTTTCAACTAACGATGGCCATCCATAATAAATAGCTAAATATTTTGGTACTTTAACTGATGTTAAAGCCATTGCATTAAAAATGTAAAGTGTAAAAAGTATAAAAGTTTTACCCAACATTATTTTATAATATGTTTGTCAAATCGATCTTAAATAATATTTAAAAAAAAATGTAAGTGATAATCCACTAAAAGCTAACAAATGTTTTCTTTTCTTTATTGACACAAGAATTACTAACACATTCTAAAACAAAAATAGTTTTATAGTAGAAAATATATTTTACATGTGAAAACAAAACGTCGTATTTTCTTTCCTATGATGATTAATTTTTCACCGATGTGTATAGGCAACCTTCGAAAAAACAATGATCGATTCACTTAAATCGATAAGTCTAATCAAGCATATCATTTACTTTTTTCCACATAAAAAAACGTGTTGTTATTGCTATGTTTTCTTTACTTTCAAATGTTTATATCAAGAAAAACAAAACACACACGTGGAGATGAATTGGCAATTTCAAGAAAATAATTGCATCTATTATTTCAGGTGCTCAAAAAAAAGACAAAACAAATCGATCGATCGATCGATTGAAAGGTGATAAATTCTTTTTCACTTCTTTCTATGCATTGCCTTAGTAAAGGTGTTAAATTTAACGTTTGACAAGTGTGTGAAGAGAGAATGAATAATTATTCTTATGATCATTATAACCTTCAATTCAATTCAATAATCATCTCTGATTTCAATCACAATAATAATTATTGAGAACAATGTAAAATAAAAAAAGAGGAGTATACAATATATTCTCATAGTCATCGAAGTCATATATCTAGTGGAAACAGCTTGGAATAGTTCATTATAGCTTAGAAATTCGTAATCAATACTCTAAACTATAATGATCAGAACTAAATATGTGCATGCATGCATGTATGTATGTATATACTGTCGCAATTGCAAGATAATTACGTTGAACACGATCAAAAATACAGAAACATGTGTGTGTCTATCACAAAAAGTCAGACATTGGCAATTGAACACTCATCATTGGTAAATGAGAAAAAAACGAGTCTTTAGTCATGAGCGAAGCATTACGATGGTTAGTTCTGTTAATACCTTGATTGAAGAGCAAAATAGTCATTTCTTCTTTCTTTACATTGACACTGTTATTTACAATCTACCGTATAATTAGTTTCATGGGTTTTGATTGTCGATTATCAGCTTTACGGGTCGTATAGAAACAAAAGAAGAGAAAAAAAGAGCACCCAAAAGAGTCCTTGTGATTATGTATTGTTGTAAGATTCAAGAGAGAAAAAGAAGAAGTGTATTTAGGCTTGTTCACTTAATTTGTTTTAAGGTGAGAGAGCGAACAAACGAACTTTTTTTTTCTCTTTTCGTCGTATCAATGAATGACAACGTAGTAAAAGTGAAGAATGATTGCTTCCACTTGATGTATATATGGAGTGCCTGCTTGGCGTGTGCACACTTATATTTCAGGTTCAATATCCCAAGTGTGTTGGTTAGTGGATAACAACATCTCAAAACAAAACATGATTGAACTTCTTTGATAAATATATATATATATATATATAATAGACAATGCCTTTCTTCTGTCTTTCTTATGTTTTTTTTTATTGTATTTTTGCTTTTGTTTGGAACATTGTGCGTGTCGACAAAGTCGATTGAAGCCGCAAGGATATCATTTCTTTTCTAACTGTGTATGTTCAGACGATGCCGATTAGACGAAAAAAAATGAAGAAGAATGCAGGTGCATTTGTGAGATGCATACAAGACTCATTCATCATAAACATCAGTAGGCGATTACGAGTGTCTCTTTCTCTGTTCTCTTAAACTTTTAATGTACAATTCAACAAATTCATTTATGTCTAACCTTTCTCTGTCTCTCTCCTCCCCTTCTCTTTTTTCGACAAGCGCTATTGCAATTACACTAATAGTAACTCTTATAACAGAAAAAAGACGCAAGCTGCTTCTACTGTTACTCTGGCTCTTGTCTTATTCTATATAGACACACATGTACACATCAGTAAAGTGACTCATAATCCCATTCGCGCGGTTGCCCAAGACAAATTACACTGTTAGGATCACGTCTATAGTGCCACATACACACACACATATTTTATACTTTTAAACATTTTGCCGACTGACCGCGCCTTTGTACATGCAGTGCCTAATTGACAGTAGGTGGTAGTTGTAGACACAATAACGCCATTTTTTCTCTCTTCTCCAACAGCGTCGTTTTGAACTCTTCTTTTCATTGTTTAGCGGCACTGTTCAATGAAGAAAAATTACAAACACATTCATATAACGAGGGTCAATAGATAATTATCTGTCTGTTTCTATATCTGTAAGTGACATTAAAATTACGTGAAATGACCATTCAAACTTAGTTGAGACATCAATTTCCTATTCTATTCTAAACCGGATACAAAATGAAATGAAGAGTAATTGTCCAATGTCGGTCACACCTCCCGGTGTCCAGATTGCCTCTTATAACCTTATCACAACATCAGAATTTCTTCTCGGACGATCAGTTCAGTATGGACCAGTGAACTAGCAATCATCATCATCGTGAATACAACGTCGGCTAATATAATTGAAAAACATCAATTATGAAAGAAAAATAAACTTGAACGCCGTCGGCAACTATACTAATTCAACGAAGCAGATCAAAAAAGGAAGAAATAAAGAAGTCAAACTTCTTCTTCGTTGTTTTTTTGCTTATATACACTTTGTATCCATATTGAATCAGCTGAATATGTTCACTCATTTATTCTTTGACGGACATATGGAGAGTAGTTCGACACCCTGCTGTGAATAGGGCACGTATCTGCGAGCGGTGCTCATCGTCTGTCGTGTACATATCTTGGGAAAGCTAATTTATTATCCTGACAAACTTCTTTACAGGTGTCGTCGTGCTTATCAGATCATCAACATTCTGTTTGAATAAATGAACTTTTGCTCTCCTTCCTTTTTTTCCAGAGAAAAATTCTCTTGTTCTCTTCTTTCTCTCTCTCTCCCTCTATTGCTTCTGTTCAAATGTGTATGTATATGTATACTAATTGCTATTGTTCACGCGAGTTCAATGTTCAGTCTAGAAAATAATGGTGTATGAGATCTATCTTTCTTCGTCTAATGATCTATACGCGTGTATTGTGTCAGATAGCATCATGAGATTAGCGCACAGATCAAGGTAAGATCTTTTGCTGATCAACAGTGCACAGTTGTCGGGGTGAGATTAAGTGTGTATGTTCGACAAGCAAAAAAAAAGAAGGCCTGTCTTATCATTAATTTGAAGCAAGTGGTGAAGGTGCTAATCAATCCCACAATAAGTAAGTAACCCTGCTATGTATGTTCAAAGCACAATATATAAAAAAAAAAGAAAACCAACAAATGATCATCTTGTACCTACAAAAGGAAACATATGAACTAAGAAATTTATTTTTGTTTTTTAGATGATTATCTTACGTTTATTGTTAATAATTTATTTAACTAATGCAACATTTCTTTTTTTTGAACATGATTCATATGAATTTTATATTTCGGAAGCAGCACCGATTAATACAAAAATTGGTTTTATCAAAGCAACATCATCATCATCATTATTAATACACTATGAGCTTTATGGTGATATATATAAAACATTTTATCTGAATTCTTCAACAGGAGAATTAATTCTATTAAATTCTCTTGATTATGAAACTATAACAATACATAAATTAACTATTGAAGCACGTTCATCATCAACCATAGCACCTTGTTTTAGTGAAATAATTATTCATGTATTAAATGTAAATGATAATTTGCCTGATATAAATTTAATATTTTATCCATCAGTTTTATATGAATCAAATCTAATTAAATATGATTTAAACACATATTCAACATCATTAGCTACAATAAATATAAAAGATATTGATGAATCAACCAAAAATTTAAGTTTAATTATAAATGATACTGAACATTTTCAAATACAATTTGTACGTCAAATTAAAAATGGTTTAGTAACTGAATCAATTTATCTATTATCAACAAAAAATAATTCACAATTAATAGAACATGATTATTATTATTTATCATTAAATTCATGTGATAATGATCAACCATTATTATGGACAAATCGTTCATATGAATTTCAGATGAAACCAAATGAAAATTTATGTCAATTTTCATTTAATAAAAATAATTATATTATTGATATTAAAGAAAATTTACCTAATCGAACATTAATATTACAAAAATTAACTAATAGATTTTGTCATAATATATCATATTCAATAGATGATACAAAAAATTTTTATATTAATACAAAAACAGGTTATTTATATACATCAACTATTTTTAATCGAGAAAAACAAAGTATTTATATATTAAATTATAAAATAATTGATCAATATAAAAAAGAAATTAATACGAATATAACTATACGAATAATAAATGAATATGGTCATATACCATTTTTAATAAATAAAAATTTTCAAATTCATCAAAATGAATTTTTTTCAATCGATTTATTTAATTCAACATATTGTCGGTATCAATCAAGAATTTATAATTATTTTCAACTTTTAACAAATTGTACACTTATCAAATTATCATTACCTGTCAAAGGAAAATATTTATTTCATATTCAACTTAATGATAAAAATAATTATGAAGATACATTTCAACTTGAAATAACATCACACTCGAATAAAACATTTCTATTAATGTTTATACGATCACAATGGATAATTATTATACCAATATTCTTAGGTATTTTTTTAATACTTATTACAATTATTTGTGCTATGATAATTATTAGAAAACATAAATATAATCAAATTTGTCATGATAAACAAGTTTGTTGAAATCAATTTTTTTTTCTTTTAATTATATTCATCTGTTTTGCTTTCTTTTAGAAATCATCATCTTTATCCAGTTGTGAAGAAAGTATTCATGATAGTAAGTAGATTTCCATAAGAGATAATCTTTTTTTTTTCTTTCGTCTTGTCAGCTTTTGTATTACATCATACGACATTTTCTGTTTTCTTATAGAATATGATGCAATTTCAACTGTATCAAAATTAAAAGTACACGATGATCATGAATTGTCATTATCACCAACACATACAGCGATATATTTAGTACAAAAGTCATCATCATCACCATTTTCATCATCAAGTCCGACACGTGATGATGAAGGTTATTCGGGTAGTTCTGATGTATCAGAAAATCATTTACCAGTTGAAACACCAATACTTACTGCTGATCAACTACTCGAACAGTATCGTATATATGAGTTTCGAACTCGACAATCAATGTCATCATCATCATATGATGTACCTAAACGAATGAATACATCGTGTATATCAAGAGATGTATCACTTGTATAACAATTTTTTTTTATTCAATTTTTCTTTTATTTAATCTATATAAAGATATGTTAGCTTATAAAATATTAGAATGCTAATATAAAAAAACTAAACGGACGCCTTTTTTTGTTATTATTAAACAAGACATAATTAAGAGAATGACCTATGGAAAAGATTAGCGACTCAAGATAGAATTATGTAATATAGTTCATTTAAAATGTAGTCATTTTTCCCTTTCAAACATCAAAGTAATTATTTGAATTGATTTCTGTAGAAAGCAACAAATATTAGATAATAAAAAGTATTAATTATTAGAATTGACGTTATAATATAGAGTACGAAAGTTTTGGTATGAATTAATAGAATATTGGGTTCTCTTGATGACCCCGATGCTTTGTTATGGTGTCTGTATAGGAGTCGTATATCATTTCATTTACATAAGCGTTTTCTCGTTGAAGAAAGGAACGACTATCCATTAATTACATTTTTCTCTTGTCAAAAAATATTTGTATAGCTTATTTACTTGTACTAATTTCTACCCTTGCATTTGTTTTGGGGAATCAATTTACATTAAAAAAATATATATATTTATTTTAAACTGACAGTCATGAAACATAGTCCATGAGGGCTGGACAATATTCTCCAAATTCAAGAAATCGTTCCACTTACAGTAGAAATGCTTCAAGCCTCATAAAGTCAAGTAGAAACGCTTCTTCGAAAAACTGAATCGTTTTCCTTAAATCATTCAACATACAGACACTCTACCAATCAACTGGGAGAAAGCCTTCATCCATTTCTACTCTTATAAGCAGAAATGGAAAACTTTTAAACAGATGATTCATGAATATATGTTTATGTTCTTTTTCCATTTCTCCTTGATATGTAAGACTTTATGTGAGGTGAACCATTTCTGCATAAATAGGAACAATATCTCCATCAATTGGTCCAACTGTCCACTGGTATAGTTCATAGATATTATTAAACAACACAGTTGAGTGTGTCGAATAGGTTCTAATAGAAGCTAATTGCTGATATGTACAAACAGCTCAAAAATTAATACGGGACGTTTGATAAACAAGAAAAAGGTTTTTTTCAAAACAGAGGACAAATACATGTAAATGTTTTTATTCCAAAGCATTTCCTACAAACATTTGTTCATGAAAGTTTGATAGCGTTAGATAGGACTCAAAAGTACCATTTGAGTGTCTATAATTACACATTGCTAATTATATGGTTTAGATGGTTTAATCATGCGATGTAAATACAACTTAGTTATCGCATGTAGAGGACTATCGTATAGAAGTACCGTATTGAACCGTAATATGGTGCATCATGTACAGCCGTTCACGTACTGTATTCTGCGATGCGAAAAGTTCAAGAAAAGTTTTCAGGATGTAGAGTAAATCCAGTGATAGTCAAACACTTTTCTAGGAAACTTTATTTGTAGTAAACATATGCTAAACTTTTGCTTGACATGGGAGAAATTAGAACTGTTTTTTTATGAATGTTCCACCAGTAATTTCAAGTTTGTCAAACTCATATTTTGCCAATAAGTAAAGAATAATTAGATCAATACTACTGCGGAACTATTGTTCTTGTTTTTAAGATTTGATCGCGATCTGAATGTTTCAAAACACGATAGGTTTCTAATATTATAAAAATGTGCAAAAATTCCTGTATTAAAAAAAAAACACTTCTCTCTTGATCAAATCTCAATAAAAAAAAAACAAAAGGATGCTTTGAAGTTGGTGCTAGTGTAGTCAAATTCTACTTATGGAGAAAATATGCCTAGAAAGTCTTGAAATCACTTATGGGCCGCTTCTAGGAAGCATTTCACACATCCGTCATTTCAGCCGAAAGTCAGCAACATTTTCGGCCATTTCGTTTTCTGACTACTTTCTACTTAACCAGCGCAACGAAGGTTAATAAAAATAAACTTTTTTTTCCAGAAAACCAGTTTGACAGCCATTGATTTACCCAAAAATAAAATAAAATGAAAAAAGGGCACGTAATTCATACTTTCATTATAGTTACAATTTCGAAAAAATTAAAAAATTTGATAGTTTAGGTTTGAATATGGTTGGTTGTGTGCCAGTGGCTGAGCATAATCGTGACTGTGCAGAGAAGACCAAATGCTAATTACTATCTCATCGCAGCATCTGATCTTCTGAATAGTCTGTCTTTTGTCGTGACGAAAAAAAGTTCCGTTTATTCATCAAGAACATTTTTTAATGTTGCTCAATTAATATATTAAAACTTTTACTACTTATCTTCCATAACTTTTTTTTAATGATAAACATTTGATTCAACTTTAGCTGTTTGTATTTTTTTAAAATTTTTTTCTCAGCAAGAAGTTAAAATGCAGACATTTTCATCTCAATATTTGACATTTTTACTTTCAACCAAAATATAGAGAATAGGAAAATATTAGAAAAATCTTTCTTTTTTTTCAAATTCTTTATTTTCAAAACTGAACAGTATTACTATCTACGTTTTATATAAAACATCACATAAATACAGAATACAATAATAATTAGCAAAAAAAAAGATCAATAGTTTATACACTAAAACCATATGTTCAATATTCCATCGTTACATTTTATATAGAAATGTTTTTTTACGTTCAATAATGTAATAGCAAGTAAATCACGTAAATTTTGATTATTCAGATTCTTTGGATAATAAACAGTTAAACTAAATAATGAACGCATATCAGTCAATAGATGGTAAAACCAATCATTCGATGAAAAGAACCATTCTAATCTATTAACATAAAGTGTAAGAATTTGAATCCGTGGAAAAAAATTTTTAAGATCAATCGATTGTTCTTGAGTCATTTCATAGATTGTTATTTGTCGAATACGTCTACTATCATTTGCATATAATATTTGGTCTTTATTGGTAATATTTAATGTTCGAAAATATAAATGTGTTGCTTTTCGATGATTGTGAGTATAGACACATGGGAAAACCATCGCAGAACAATCATCAGATGACGATCTAAAATTTCAAAAAAAAACTTAGAATTTATTTTATCAAGAATCAAACGTTACTTTTGTAGAACCCATTGATGTCTAATCAAAATATTGATTGTACTGTTTAAAGGTTGCTTAAAAAATGTAATTGTTCGAATATTTGGAAAAAACTTTAAAATCATGCTTGAATAAATAAATTCGTCTAAGATAGACGTGGAAGAAAGTGATAAATGATGAACATTAGCATAATAATATGGATAATTTCTAAAAAAAAATGTTGGTATCACGTCATCAATATCAAATGTATCAAAAGCAAATGGTAATGTATAAGTACAACGTTGTTTGGATTTCTCAACAAAATGTGTAAAAACTTCAATAGATCGATCAAGCCAAAAGTGAGATGTAAATGAAAATAGATACAAATGATCAGGCGCATGATTTTTTACTGCATCATCAGTACTATGCAAATGACGTATATAGAATTGTAATTTCTTTAATTGTGGAAATGTTCGAAATAATTTTTCTAATGCTAATCCACCTATTTCTTGATTGGAATTTGTAGAGACATTCTAAATTGAACAAAAAAAAAATATATAGAAAACATTAAAATCAAAGAGCGAAATTTTTCTTTAAGATACCAGCAATTCGAAACTTGAGAAAAATTGTTCTCGTTATGACTGAATAGAACTTGTTAAATTACCTCTATAAATATTATATTCAGACAATATTTTTCTAGTGAAATTTAGGAAAATTAGGTTTAAAAGAATTAGAAAACCCTATAAAAATTGAAATACACAAAAAGCATGAACTGTTAGTAGTTATTCGAATTCTTCTTGAACTTTACTTGTTATATAATGAGGAAAAAGTTAGGCATGCTTTAAATATTATATTGAAAATTGGCAGAAAAATCGACATCAAACAGTATATTTAATATTTGTCACTAATTTACGTCTAATTTTGACCTCAGCGAAAGCACAAGTCAGAGTATTCGACAACGATAGTGAAAGAAGAGCAGAAGGATCGAACTTTGATGCAAATCAGTTTTATGTATTGAGTATACTGTTCAAGGCAAGTTTTTGCGTTGGTTATGAATAATGATACTCCTTTCAATAGAAAATAAAGTTCTGACAGACAAAATCTTCGAATACAAATTCGTACTTATTGTATTTTGCTATCGTATAGAAAAAATTGATTTTTTTGCAAAAAACAAGCAATATTTTTTAAAACCAATGCATCGTTTTTTCCTAACTATATAACGAGTAAAATTAAAGAAGACTTTGGATAACTACTGACATTTGATGCGTTTCATGCTTTTCAATTTTCATAGGTTTTTTCGATTTTTTTTAAATCTAGTTTTTCTAAGTTCCAAAAATAAATATATCGTTTGAAAATGTCGTTTTGTAAAATATGATCGAAAATTAGCGTTGACGAATGTAGTATAGACATTTGGATCTACTCTTCGTTCCCTCCAGGGGTGTAGCCGGGGGGTACTAAGAGCACTAGTGCGCTTCCTTGGAGAAAAAACACCTGGAAGACGGGAGAATATGGATAAAAAAGTCTTTTCGTGAAATAAAAAAAACCCATTTTTCTGCTGGTACTTACCTCCTTGAAGAACTTCCAGCTACAATGTTGTCTCTTTTTCTACAGGCCCTAACAGATGCTAGCTAAAGATCGTCACAGTCAGTGACTTACATTGTTGATTTACGATCACAGATCATATATCAATAACGGCTCGTTACAATATATTGACTACTTATTGGATTTTTGAAGGCTTTAGTAAAAGAGTGACGAAGCAATGTGTGCCAAAATAATCTTTCTATGATTAGCGACAGCACGCTAGATCATGTTTCACATTATAACCATGTAAGGATTATTCTAACAGTTTTTTATAGGTAACTTGATAAGCTCTATTCAACCATGACAAACAACATACGAAAAAAACTCTGCTTCAATTTCGAATTGCCAACACTTTAAATTTATCAATGTAACCTCATCATGTAAAATTGCTTGTAATGACAGTTGTTTCAATTTGATATGTGGTATGAGAATTTTTTGTAAAGTTTTGAATAGAATTGATTTTTTAATATTCAATGTTAACACTGTTAAGAAATCAAGTGATTGAATTTTATCAAGATTTTCGTTATATGTACTATCAAAAACAGTACATGTAAGTATTTCTAAATGTGGTAAAGAACGAAATAGAATTATAAGATCATCTATTGTTGCTAAAGTTAATGTTAATTCACGTAAATTTTCATTTAATTTGTGTCCTGATAATTTATTTAAATTAAATATAATACCAACAATAAAACAATTTTTTAATGATTGAGATTGACTTGTTGGTAGAAGAATTTGATCAATAAGTAATTTTTCAACAAATTTACAATTTTGATTAAATGTTAATGATAAACGCCAAAGATGTTTAAGCAATGGATGAATAACAAGAAAATATTTTGATAATTCATCAAAATCAATTAAATCAAATGTTAATGATTCAAGTTGATTTATTTTAGACCAATCAAGTCTATTAAGTGTTTCACTTATTTGACCAAATGTATATGCATTACTTAAACGAAGTACACGTAAATTATTTGTAAAACATGGAAATAATGATTGTGTTAAACTTTGAAAATAGGATTTATTTATACAACGAAAATCAATTGTATGTGTATATGGTTCTAAAAGAACATCGAGATGAAGATAAAGACCAGTAAATGAATATAGAAGATCAATAGGACGGAAATATTGAAAAATTTCAAGAATAATATCTGTACAAAGATCTTGAAATATGGACCTAAAATATGATTTTATAATGTTTTTGCTATTTTCAATATAATAGGATTCAAATATTCACTCACTTATTTTCTAGAATGGTGACATTTTTTAAAGATTTATCTATTGAAATACTTTTTGTTTCTTCAATGTAATTAGAGGCTACTTCGTCAAAAGTACGTTTTGACACTCGATTACTCATTGTGATGGAGCCGTTGTCATTTATTTCTATCTAAAACTAAAATTATTTTATTTGTAGTACAAAGATAAAAGCATAATAAAACAAAGGGTCAAGTATAGTACAGCAATGACTAATCATAAACAGTGATATTCGGGATTGCAAATATACAAACGAGAAAAACAGTTGACCTATATGATGAACTCTGCTGTTTGTCCGCTAAAGGTTAAAATCAAGCCAATCGAAATCATTACAGCTACTTCCTTTATAAGATTGATCGTGCAAAAAGAAAATTCAGAGCAAATCATATGCAGTATTTAAAACGATTGATGTCTTTAGATTTTGTAGCTAGATCTGTGACAGTTTTCGATCAAAGACCTTTCGTTCATTTTATGTCAAAAATATTAAAAACGATGGCATTTCTGATGATAAAACGGGCATATTTCTCAATGTTTTTGACATAAAATTCACGAAACTTATGATTATTTCTTTTTTTTTTAAGTCACTGATTAATCAGTTCTTTTTCAACAACTGGAGCAAGTACTGACTAGAATCGTTAGATTACCATTATTGATAAAACAAGTTCATCTGAAAAAAATCGTCACCAAGTACGGCTGTACAGTTCATGCTCATGAGCTTGAGTACGTCGTCTGTACTTTGAATATGCGAGTCAGGTATTTTAAGGACAAAACATACTGTTATTCGGATCATATGAAAAAGCACCTCTAATATCTCCTAATCAACTCGAACAACACTTGTTTTACAATACAAAAAAACCCTACTAAATTCTGATTGGTCGATCAACGGCTAATCAGATTTTATTAGGATTTTTTCTTCTATTATAAGGACAGAACATATTTCTGTTCGGGTCGATCAGCGGTTATCCGTGACCTAGAGTTGGAGCCGGTCGGAAATATTGAAACCGGTCCGGTCCGGCCGGTTCCAAACGCTTTTTCAGATCGGTTAAAATCGGCCGGTTTGCCAAATCATTTTGATCGGTTAAAGAAAATGGCTCTAAAACCATTTAGTTTCCTTTTTTGCTTCTATTTTAGAAAGCTTTAAGAGAAAATATCATGTCATAGTCGTTTATGCTTTTAAGGTTTCTCAGAAATGAATATGTGATGTTTCTCTGGCGCAAAAAAAGAGTCAATTTACCCGACAACTGATTGCTAAACTACGAATCTTGAATTTTTTCACCTAAATTTTACCAAAAAACCTTATATTTCTCTCAGAACGACAGTTCAAACTCAAATCTAGTCTCTAACAATCATCAGCCAGATAAATTGAGAAATTCATCTCAAGTAACACAGTTTTTTTGATTGTGCTTTTCACAAAGCGAAATACAGTTCGATTAAAAAATAAAAAAGGTACGAACGAACAGAAGAAGATAAAATTGAGAAATTCTGAATAATACTGTTTGATTATATTGATAAATCCATTTAAACTTGCTTTCGACATGTTTTATCAAAGAAGAATGGCATATCTAAAAATATTCTAAACCGGTAAAAACAGGCGCAGACCGGCCGGTCTGACCATCTCAACCGGTCCGGTCCGGCACCAGACCGGTTCCAACTCTGCCATGACCTTCTTTCATATGACCCGAATAACAGTATGCTTATCCTTACTATAGTTGACTCGTATATTCGAAGTACAGAAGAAACGTTCATGCTCCTATGAGTACTCATAAGCGTGAGCAGTTCACCTCTATCACCAAGCCCAATTCTTAAAAAAAGACCTGGTCCCTGGTACCAGTTCTTAAAAAAAGAATCAATTCTTTCAACTGTGAGCTGTTATAGATCTATTTATAGCAGAAGCTAGAGTATAATGTAGTATAACTAGTCTACGATGACAATGCAAGTCATCATGGCAAGTTCAGTTTATAAAGAATGCTACAAAAAAAAAACTTTTCAACTTCATTAGACAGAAACAAAACATTGTAGGAAATTAAAGTCTAGGTTAAATTATATTGTTGATAATTGCTTGGTACAAGTTTTATATCATCGCTCGCTAGATTTAAAATCTGAAGATATAGCATCGAACATCGTAGTTGGTTTATAATTGTTCTATTCATCCAATCTTGATTTTTATCTTAAATGCGCATGTGTACATTTAATTCGATAACAATATGTCAACAAGCGAAGATGATAAAGAATTTATTCATAATTTTTATTGATTTACTTTGAAAAAAGTCCATTAATCAATAATCATATGTTTGATATCACTATTATAAATTATTTTCATCGAACAAAACACTTTTTAAGTCTTATTACTATTAAAGCTATTAACCTGAGTATGATATGGTAATAGAAATGAGTTTGGTTCCAAGAAACCGCGAACTAGTGCCATCGGAATCTGATACATTTTTTTACTTATCCATAAATTTTGACCCGATTCAGGTGAAAAAAACTCTGATTATTCGCAAAAATAAAGTTAAATTATTGATTTTGTTATATTACAAAAGTTTTCATCAATATTTTCTTTGGTTAATTTGACAATCTGTACAAAACACTATTTCAGTAAACATCCTGATGCAATCTCTCGGCATTGACTTTCCTTTTTTTTAAATATAAGTTATGAACAATCTTCAAAATATATATTTATATATTTCTTATCATCTAATCGTTCGTAAATCGATAAATGCAATAATAATATTGTCAATGATATGTGCCTGTTCACTGAAATCTACGAAGAAAATATCATCATCACTGAATACTTACAAAATTTCTTAATTATTCTTTGCATATGATGACTCATCATTGAATATTTGTGTTCTATCGTTGTCTATCATTATAAAAAACGTATTATCTTCATATCGATGTCTGTTCGTTTGCTAAACACTGACGATCCTGTATTAACTTTCTGTTTATGCTGAATTGATATGATTAATACTGTATGATATTTATCAATCGATCTGTGAATTAGAAGACAGGAATCAAAAGATTTTGTTTTAATAGATTGTTATTCTGGGATTTTTCATTTAAACTCAAATTATGCTCTCAAAAAAAAACAATTAGAGCAACATAGAAAAAAAAACGCACACACAAAAATTGATACAACAAATATCCAGAAACAAAACGAGAATGAAGCGTTTTTCACACATTTTCGGAGCATACAAAACACAAGGATAATATTGATGTGCATGATCTATATCAATCTGCATAGATGATCCATTCATCAAACATGCATCGAAAGTGAAACGACAGGAGACAGACGAAGAAAAAAAGAAACAAAAAAAATCAGTTCAATAATAAATAGAACATGACAAAGGACTTAAAAAAACGAGTATTGAGATAGACAGGAAAAAAAAAGAAGAGTAAGAAAAAGATATCATATACAAAAGAAAAAAAAACAAAATGAATCGCTGCACATTTAAAATGATGATTCATGACTCTATCAGTTGCACAAAAACGAAAAAAAAACACAACATATAATTTGTGAGCAATGGGTAGGTTTTAGTGGATGATCCTTAACTCAATTTTTCTTTTCTGAAATAAACAAATCGAAAGAACACTGCTACTACATATCGTCTATATATCGGCACTCATTAATTTACAAAAACATGATTAAGAATGAATTTGTTATTTATTGCATAGCCGCTCGACAAAAAAAAAATCCTTTTTTTTGTTTTTTAAACACACATGGGTAAGAACACAACAAAGTTCATATTTGCTTGTGTGTGTGTGTATGTGTTGATCAATAACAACAACAACAAGAGAAAAAAAACAAAAAATAGATATCTATATGTACATATGACAATAGTCGCGCGGGTACACACAAGAAAATGAGAAAAAAAAACAATTGCACACGCATACCTCTACATACAAGCAAGAGAAAAAAATGCCGAAATTTTCGATGTCATGAGAAGAAATACACACATCTGAACAAGGACACTTTCTTTGGTTAATTTAATGCCAAATATGATTAATTTATGATTGTTGAATTTCATCATTAGGAGTTACATTTGATGAATCAACTTCATGAGTTTGTATCATTTCACCATTGATTGTTTTTGATTTCGATTTTCGAGAGAATAATGATGCATGACGTTTTAATTTTGCTCGATCATTCTAAAGAAAAAACAAAGAAAATAATAAAATTTATAATTAAACAATCATCTTATGATAAATAAATATTTAGGATAAAGACAAAAAAAAAATGGGTTTTTATATTTTGATGTTTCTTTTCGCTTATTGATAGATTAAACAAGCAAAATATTTGGATACTTTTTAGGCATAAGCGAAAAGAAAAAGTTATAATGATATACAAGACAAAGCACAACATCATTTCATTTACCGTCTGTTATGACTGTCTATCAAGCTGAAAAATATACCAAAATCATTCATCCTATTCTTATATTCATGAACTTACTTCATCCATTTTTCGATCAGTACCATTCGCTATTAACAAACGAAATTCTCTTTCCAGAATTTGACGTGTCTAAAAATAAACATACACGATAATATAAACAAAAATATTTTTTGTTTACCATTGTTTGTTGACTGGGTATTTGTAAAGCTAATGCTAGTGTATTATGATCAAATGTTTCATCAAGTGCAATTAAACCACCATGAATACCAGTTTCAATTAAGTTATTAGCATATTCTTTTAATCCATTAATTGTTGTTAACCATTGAATTATTCGTTCATTTGTCCACATAAGTACATCTTGATTTTCATTTAAAGATTCTTCACGTCTTCGATCAAGTTCTTTTTTATCATAATTAACTCGTTTTAATACCATTATACCATAATGAAAACTTGTTCTAAACAAAACAATATACAAATTTTTAATGCATAAAAATTCAAAAAAAGAAATCATTTATTACCGATGAAAACTATCGACCATTTTTAATTGTTTACTTAAATCTTTTTTATTTAAATGTTCAAGCATACGTGCATCAACAAGACATTCCATAAAATATGATCGATATTGTGGTAAACCAAGACTTGGTAGCCATTCATTTCCAATCCATTCATGATCCATTTCACCAAATGCTAATGACTTTAAAACAAAAACATAATTC